AGAGGGGGAGGGGAGAGGGAGAGGGCCCCCGGCACGCGTGGACGGATGGCAGATAATATAAGACACGACACGCCAGTGCGCGTGTAATCACACACGCGTTACGTAAGCAGTAATTGCACGTCAGTGGAGTGGTGCGGAGCGCGCGTACGACAGGAGCGGGGATGTGTTGACAGACTACGGAGCGACCAGGTGGAGGGATGACGTACGAAAGAATAGGAGAGGAGTGGCGGCAGGAGCGGCGGAAATGAGGACGTTCCGCTGGCTGTAGATGAAACATATCACGCTCAGGTGTTCTAGTAATTACGGAGGCAGAGCAAACATGCAGCTATAATTAGGCGCGCAGGTGCGTTCTACGAAGTGTAGTCGCCCGAACAGTACTAATACATTGCTTACCATGGGGTTAGGGTTAGAGTTATGGTTATGGTTAGAGTTAGTGTTAGGGTTAGGGTTATGGTTATGGTTAGAGTTAGGGTTAGTGTTAGAGTTATGGTTAGGGTTAGTGTTAAATAAGTATAGCAAACACTAACCCTAACCCCATGATAAGCAAATTATTACTCCTTCAGAGCGACCCACCATACTACAGCACCACGTAGCGTACGCATGCTGGAATATACAAGTACCAAACACAACACACCTATAGCGTACTCTCATGCCGTGATCACGTGGTACACATGCGAATTAATGAGAAGAATACCACACCTGTACAGTATATTACACAATACACACACATATATATGTTATTATATATTATATATATATATATATATATAATCACGAGTGCTTTGAATCAAGGTGTGGCATATTACACGCGTGTTTGTTGAATAGAGCTTTCTGCGCCACTCAGCGTGATGCCACGAACAGGTGTATATATGGAATTCTACACGCGTGTTCATCATGATAACACCGCAATCTTTAATCTCGGTTCTTCCTATATATATCTGTATTAGCTCTAGAACTATATCTGTATAAGAAACTCCTCGCAGGAACTTATGAATTGATACATAAGCATATGCATATATATAACATATATATTATATATATATATATATATATATATATATATATATATATATATATATATATGAATGTAATGATATGCTTATCCGTTCCTATAGGAGTAAAATCCTTATCTCACCATTCACGCGTGTAACTTTTATTGGCAGCGTAACAGATATTACAGTTGATGGCTTCATCATGACATGGTTACGGCCCACAGTTCATGTAACCTCGCTATTGGACACAAAATTTCATTAGTACATCACATCATCGAGTGCATATGCAATCGGACAGGAAATAGTTCCATACCCACTTCACAACTAGTACGGAACGAGACGCGCTAAAAGACTCACCTATGTATGCATTCACATGAACCACATGATATGCATGAGCTACACAGTAGGACTACGTAACGGGTATACGTATGTATAGCTATAACACCGACCACATCGCTGGCATGTACAGACACCACTAATGAATGCTCCACAGTCAGCCACCAGAAGCACATATACAAACATGCACCCACACAGACGCATGGACACAGTATACGCATATAAACTCACTCGCACGCAGGCACGCACGCACGCGCGCACACACGTACGCACGCACGCTCGCACACACACACACACGCACGCATACGTATACATATAAATATACATATAAACATGTACATCAGCCTCCACACAAACAAACAATCCTAGCATGTCTCTCGTCCACAACGTTCTACAAGCGCATATATGTCAACTGACTTACACTACACATACGACCATTCTCTAAAGGGGAGCCAACAAAATGAATCTACAAGCGTCTAACCATTCTGGTTATACAGGAAATATCTGAAAGAAAGGCGTCTATGTAATGTACTGAGCACAGCCTATACGCTACGCACGGGGCACGTACACACAGCCGGCATAGCAAGACGGGGACAGAGAGAGAGAGAGGTATGCGTGGTCATACTAACACCGCTATTTGTCTTGTTCTCATTCAGGTATTCTATCCAAAACTGCGTCTTTGGTTCCTATTAGGAAAATGCAATGTTAACGAGCGCTTTAACGCACATACGACCATGTTATCAGGAGTAGATAATAGAAGATCTAGATTCTTCTATTATCTACTCCTGATGTTATTACCATTACATGTTATCACTATAACTATCTATAATTATACTGATAATAAGTATCGCAACACACACGCACGCACGCACACGCACGCACGCACGCACACGCACGCACGCACACACACACACACACGGACACACTCACACACACGCACGCACGCGCACGCACGCACGCACACGCACGCACACACACACACACACTCACACACACGCACACGCACACGCACGCACGCGCACGCACGCGCACGCCCACACACTCATACTACTCTAGAGAAAATTATGGCTTGGCATTTTTCGGGCTTTCCATAAACCCGCACCTT